TCGTTTTGTATCCGCGTTTTCCGTATTTTGAGGCTAATTTATCAGCTACAAATCGCAGCTTAGTTTTCCAGTCTTCGGTTGCCTTGGCCAATGCTGCATTGCCTGGCGGTCAGACAGCTGGAGATTCTGACGCTCGTTTTGTCCCTTTACATAATCTTATGTTCCCCATTATTTTTTTTTTTTTTGAAATTGTCTTGTTGATGTGCTGCTAATCGTATTTTTATAGTGCATATGAAAAGGAAGAAGTGTTTGAGATGCCGAAATCTCTCGTTTTTAGATGTGTTGCTGTTGGTGGCTGTCATCGAGAGCGTATTGCCGGCGTACTATGTTCTCTGTTGAAAAATACTGGTGGTGGCTTAAATGGTACCATTCAACAGATGGTGCTCAAATGTGTCTTCGATGATGAGACGATTCCTGTCAAAGCGGTGGACGAGAGCACTCCAATTTGTTATTTGTCCCTGGATATTCCAAGTTCGTTTCGTTTTTCACTTTTTACGAATTCATTTTGCTTTTTCACTCCCTCACCTCACACAAATACTTTGAATCGTAAGTATTTCCCAATAAATTCTTGAGCTGTGCTTTTGACAACGGAATAAACAGTGTTGAGGCACGCCATGGCAAGCAATCGAGTAGCAGCAAACTTGCAGCAAATACACTATGTATCACATTATATCCGATTAAGTGTTGTAGAAATTTTAGAGATACAAACAATGAAAATCCCTGGCTAGGAGATTGGAAGCGGATGGGAGACTGATATCGCGTCGACATGTTAACATATGCAGTTTGTTTGGCGTTGTTGGTCCATCGTGGAGAGATATATAATCGAATTTTGATAATAAAAACACTGAAATTGCCATTTAGATCTCCCAGATAAATAAGCCTCTATGTACTTTAGCTTGGTAACCTGTCTGCGTTTCATCCCTGAGGTGTAAACATAGTTATATTTTAAATTGATTGTACTCTTATGCTAGGGATATAATTTCGGGTGATGCGCTGGCTGTAAAGTTAGCCCAGCAAACAGTTGATAGCGT